GGGGCTTCCCATAGGTCTGGAAATTTGGCAGCAGAGTGAAAAACAGCAATGTTAATTGCCACAGTTCCAGGAGCTGTGACAAAGCATCTACCGCTCCCCCACCACCAAATTTCCAGACTTGCAGGCCAGCTGACATGGCTCCACAGGGCTCATGGACCATATCTTGATCATCCCTGACCTGGAGGACTACATTTTTCAGATGACTACAAGCTGGGATCTCCATTTCCTCACTTCTTCCCTCAAGAAAATCCCTTCCTTCTTGCATCATTCAGTGAAGTTTTCTGCTTTGTGAAACAGCAAAGCAGCTTAGTTCTTTCATGTTCAAACTCCAAAGCTGGATCCGCACTGGTATAAATGGGTGCAGCTTCAAAGAAGTCAGTAAGCTGTGCCCACTTTCACCAGCAGGTTCTTGTATTCACTTGAATATTCTCTGTCCTCCCCTAAACACTGCAGAAAGGGACCAGGCACAGTAATTACCCAATTGTCCGTCTTCACTTTATTAGCACAAAGGGTAATTACAGCAGCCATGGTTAATTAATAGTATCTGCCTCTGACTGAGAAATAGGTCCCAGGCAACCTCTTTTCACAAGGGAAAAGTCTGTGCATCCCAGAGATTTTGCATTGGTTTTCAGGTGCCCTGCAAATGTATCCTCAGCTAGGTATTCAACTATGAAGGAGTATTTATCTAAAAGGATGCACATTATGCTTGAAGTGCATTCTTTTTCCATCCCAATCCTATGCTTAGGCATATATTTAATTCAAGCATGTAAGCAGTCCTTTTGAGATGAAGAGGGCTGCTTATGTATAATAAGTTAAGCTTGTGTGACAGTGTATGCAGCATAGGGCTACAGAAAGTTCCTTAAACAGGAGTCCCTGACAAAGGAGCAAGTCAACCTTATTGAATGATAATTCTTACTAAATAATAGGAATATTTCTACTGAAATACCACCTGAGCCTCCTTCTCAAGAAGTTAACCTGATAGGAGACTTAAGTAAGTTTAGAACATGAGCTTCGGCCAGACAATATATTATATTGTAGAGTCTAGGACAAAGACTTCAAAATGCACTTCAGAGCTGGTGGGCAGAAAAACCATCTCTACATCAAGCCAGTACTTTGGCCTCCCAAATAAATTAATTAGGGCACATGTTTACCCAGGTGAGTTGTCTTGATTCCCTTGTAGACAAGGATGACATAGTGGGGCATTTGAGTCAAGTGTAGCGGGGTGCACAGATAATTGTGTAGGTTTAAGCATAGTAAGAATATTTTGTCTCACAACTTGCAGCATTGCTTTAATGTATGGTGTCATCTGCTTACTATTAAGAATAACAGCTTTTGACAGAGGAGTAATCCAGCTGGAATCCATTGAAGTACTCAAATTTGCTGCTTGAAGTAGCAGAGTAGTTAAGATTCTTTTCTATGGCTCTAGAGGCATGAGTTTGTATCCTGCTCCAAACCTGTGCTAAATGCTTTCCTCCTGTATGCCCAGTTGTAAAGGGGTACTTGGTCATTATGTTTGGGGAGTTAAAGATGGATAGTCATCCCTTTTGCACCACTGTCTAAAGAAATCAGCATGCTCTAACTAATAGATTTTTGGATTTACGCAGGTTTTGACTTTTTTATTTAATTGAGTAGATTTGCTTTTGCACATTCAGGACTTTAAACAGTATTGAAGTAAGTCTCATCCAAGAAGTTAGAGAGAAATTCTGTAGTCTTTAATCATATGACTGATTTCCCTCAGAAGTCAAGGGTACATCAGATAAGAACATATAACATAGACTAGTGGCTCTCAACCTTTTAAATTCAAGGCACCTGTTGGAAAATACCCTGTTTCACTTTTCACTCATTTCTGGACTACAGCAAGTCTTCAATTGCTAAAAACTCAGAAAGACCACAACAGGCCAGAATGTTTTGACACTATGGATTCCTGTTTGAAATGTCTGGGTTTATTTTGTGAATCATGTGTAGGTGTTTCTACACCTAATGGTACTAATTCTGTGCAGCATGCTTTAAAGGATTTCACAGCATCCTGTTCGATAATTACTAGAGGTACACTGAGACATCAGTCTGATATAGGATCAGCACTGATATAAAGAAAATTGAGTGTGTTGGAAAAGGCTTTATGTGGCTGATAATTTGGCTGATAAATGCCCATGCATGTGCACAGCATGCAGGCAGCAAGGAGCACAGCCCAGCAGCTTGGAGAGCTGTGTGCAGTTGGTAAGTCTATTGGGGTGGTAGGGAAGGGGTGTGGTCGGGTGTCCCCCCTGGATTTATGGGGGGGGTGGGGGGAAGGGTGCAGCTGTAGGCTGGGGCTGCAGCAGCGCTGGGTTCTTTCTGGCAGGGGCTGGGCCAGGCTGCACTTGGGGCACGC